TTGCAACAAGTGTCATAGGAACACTACTTGAAAATCCTGGCATAGAAAAAAAAACTTTAAGCCAAATTAATTTAAAAGCAGCTAATGTTATTACACAATATTCAGCTTTAGCGCTAGAACATGCAATAAAATGTTTTTTTGCTATATTAGGAGACAACATTACCATTAATAAACATACAATAACTAGTGGTTGACTTATGATTAATAGAATTTTCAACCAATCTAAATAATTGTATCAAGTTATTTTAGTGTGAATATTATTAGGCATGACAATTTCATATCCAACATAACCTTTGAAATAACATAGGATCTACTTGACAATGCCCAATGAAAAATAATAGATACACGCATGAATTGACTAATAAGACTAATTGCGTAAGTTATGTTAAGCCATTTAATAGTAAGGTAAATAAACTTACCCACAAGATATTGGTAGTGATTGATAGACTAAATGGGCTCACTGATTATTCCAAGCTTTAATTTACTATCCAATAGAGTAGGGACATGCTTAGCATCCATCATCTTAACATTTTTAAGTAAGTAATAAACATACTTGTGTTAGCTAAGGAATAACCCTATATGAGAAACCATCATTTCAATTCCAAAAAAATACTTTAAATGGTCAGGATTTTCAATAGAAAATTGGCATTGCAAAGTGGAATTGATATGAGAAATGGAATCAACATTATTTCTTGTAATAATAAGATCATCAACATAGATAAAAACCACCAATCTGTTATTGGGTTCAAGATGAACAAACAAAGATGTGTCGACATCACTCCTTTTAAAGCCAATTTCTTCAAGAATAACACTTAATCCATAAATTGATTTGTGAAGCCAACACATTAAGATATGATCTAAACTTTAAGGATGACCATATGGTAATTTCATGTAGACCTCGTCCTCAAGATTCTCATATAAGAAGACATTTTTTATATCCACTTGACACACTTACCACCCATTAGTCACAATAATTTTCACTTGATAATAGAACACAAATAATATTCAGTTTAGCAACAGGAGCAAAAATTTCCTTGTAGTTTACTCGAAAAGTTTGAGTAAATGTCTAAGGCACGAGATGCACCTTGTGTCTGTCAATAGATTCATTAGAATTAAACGTTGTTTTATATACCCATCGGCTGCTAACAACTTGTTTTCCTTCGAGAAGTTTGCAATATTCTGGGTTTGATATTAAGCAAGAGCTAAAAGCTCATAATTTATAGCATGTTTATGTTCATGTTGAGAATTAGCTTCCTGAAAATTTCATGGCTCATAAACACTATGAATAATTATAAAAAAAAGTAGTATAAGCATATGAGATGTGATGATATATGAAGGAAGAAAATATAAGATGTTTGGTTGTATAAATAATAAAATCTTGCATTTTAATTTAAGGAGCACGATTAAAAACTAGATTCCTACAAGGTTGTGGTAGAGAAATAACATGAGAATCATATTTAAAATGTCCATTAGAAGTGTTACCCTTATAATCAGCTATAATAGGACTGATAACCTTTGAGCTAGAAGATATGCCTATAGTTGATGTAAAAATATTACTACTAGGAGTATTGGTGATATAAGATTTAGTATGTCCATGACTATCATCAACAATAATAAGACAAGAGGTCTTTTCACTAGTAGATGTATCTATAGTTGATGAAGGGGCATTGCTAGTAGTAGAAGGTACAACTGAGAGAGAAGCTACATCTATAGGAGTTAGATATTGTATAGGAAATAAATCTTTTAAAGAGCCTACTGACTTAAATTATCATAGTATGAAGTAGCTTATTCAAATCAAACATCTCTTGATACGAATGAATTTTTAAAACAAGGATGATAATTTTTATATCCTTTCTTGGCTTATGAATATGATAAAAAAATACACTTAATAGCCAATAAATCAAGCATATATATATATATATATATATGCATAAAATAAGTGTACCTAAATATTCTTAAATGAGATAAGTCAAGTCATTGTCTTTGTAAAACATCAAGAAGGGATTTAAAAAGAAACATTTGGTTTGGTAATCGTTTAATAATATATACAACAAATGACACCCCTTGAGACCAAAAGAACCAAGAAACATGCATTTGTATCATCAAGGCTTGAGTTTTCTCCAATAGATTTCTATTTTTATGTTCAGCTACCCTATTTTATTAAGATGCACTATTACAAATAAACTGATGCAAGTGGCTATGAGAAGTTAGATAATTTATTAGTTTTTTAGACATGTATTCAGTGTCATTGTTAGATTGGAGGATTTCATTTTTTATAGAAAATTGATTCATAACCAGCGTAAGAAAGTTTTTTTAAAACTTTCATAACCTCACTCTTGATTTTTAAAAGATATAGTAAAGTAATAAAAGAGAAATTATCAATGAAATTAACAAAGCACTTAAAACCATTAAATGATTCAATAATAGTCCCAAACATCAAAATGTACAAGTTCAAACATCTCATTAGCTTTAGGGAAAAAAAAAGACATATATGATAGTTTAGTAAATTTAGATAAATAACATGTATCACAAGTGATGATTTTTGTATCCAAATTAGGCATTATTTTGATGAGAGCAATTTTGGAGGGATTTGTTAAATATTGATGCTATAAAACTTGATTCTAACAAAAAAAAAATAGAAACTTGAATAAACTTGTTTATCTGTGGATTGCTTGAAAAATAATAAAGCCCTTGAAAAACAAACCGTCACCAATCATCTTCTTAGTGATGAGGTCCTAAAAAATAACCTAGTGTGAATCAATAGAGAGTAATTGGAAAGTAAAATAAAGAACATATAGAACCTAAGATTCTACATCTTTAAAAAGCAATTTAATCTTTTTTTTATCCTTAACAAAAACATGTTTTATATTTGCAATAGATATATGAGTTGGAATAAAAATGTTTTTAAAATTATATATACCGGTTACTTTGTTATATGATCAGTGACACCTAAATCACTCAGCCAAAAACTATACTCAATACTAGTAACTAAAACAGTTTTAAATGCAGTTAAAATGCCTTTTATATATTTTTTTTATGATAGATGAGTAGAGTTTTCAAGAAACAAACAAACTTATCAAAAAGAGTTATAAAATCATAATTTCCAGAAATTGACAAAACATGATCACATTTCTCCTAAAGACATGCAGTAAGATCATTAAAAAAAAACAATTGGATTAGTAGAAAAATTTATCACATCACTAGGAGAAGAATTAGTGGAATGAGCAACAATATAAGCTTTATGTTCATAGCCTTTTTGAAGTCCCTTTTTTTTTTTTTTTCAAACTTAGGTTTTAACTCTGAATGAAGGATTTAGCATCGCCCAATTAAATAACCAAGATTATTACAATGCCGATACTTCAAATCTTGTCATTTCTCTATATAAATCTTATAATTCCTTATTTATATATTAGTGACATAAGCATGGGTCTTTAACAGAGTGATTTTTTGCTTTAGATTCATGACTTTCTTGTGAGCTTCTTCTCGTTAAATTGTAGCACATTCACTTGTAAAAGATGAAAGATCAGGATTTATAAGAAATCGACTACAAAGATCTTTATAATCTGGACCAAGGCTAGATAAAAAATGATATATCTTGTCTTCCTCCTCTTATTTCTTCAATACTACAACATCAATACTATAAGGGTGATATAGTGCAAGTTCACTCTACATACCTTTGAGCATTCCAAGCAATTGCATATAAGTTTTATCATCTTGTTGAAGGTTAATAAAATCTTTTTTATTTAAGAAACATGAGCTGCATTGTTCTTATTTTCATACATTTCTTTCATGGCCTTTTAGAGATGAGATAAAGATTCAAAATGGCTAAATTTTGCATTATTAAGCTTTATAAGTTTGTGAGGAAAGATCTTTAATATGACCATTAATATAGTCAAATTTAAACTTTTTGCCAAGAGCAATTGCCATAACTCTTAACCAAAGATAATTAAGTTCATTCAATAATTCAAAGCCCAGACATTGATCAGGATTTCATTCTTCTTCCAAAATATTAGAAGATTTGTTTCTAGCATAACACTATCAAATTTAAAAGTGTTTTTCATAAGAATTTTAAATAATAAATAGAATAATAAGAACCTAATTTATTACCATGAAAATTCTTAACTTAACTTGTTACAATCATAACTAATTACATATACATAATACAAATTTTAAATAGAAAGGATACTAATAATCTTACTCCTGCAATCTTGGCATATCAATTCATATTTTTATCATATCTACATTAATTATCACCTAATTTACATAACAAATAGTATTAATATCGACAACAATTTAGCTTTCCTTCAATACAATTATTATAATGAACTAGAATATTAATGCACTTCCTAATAACATTTAAGGTTTTTTTCTTTCTTTCTTTTTATTATAGATGGAGATTGACCTAGAAGCCCTACTTTCTTAATCTCTGTTAAATCTCATTAATTAAGTGTTGGCATATCATGCATAAATAGTTATTGTTGCTTGAGAAATTATTACAATTGGATTTTTAATTAAATCATGATTAAACCAGGTTTACTAATTTTAGTATAAATTTTTTAAAATAATAATTTTTTCAAAATCACTGATCGAAAATCTAAACTTAATTATGTAATTCAAACTTCTAGATGATTGAAAACTATTTAAGTGTGATAAACAAGGTGAGTGAGACATAGTGTTTATTTTCATTTTTTTATTTCTTGGATGTAGACGAGAGATGGTGATACATTTATCTCTCTAAATTTACCAATACATAAAAAGTTGGAATCATTAAAAATTGCTTAGCATGTAAGCACTAGTTAAGCCGATCAAATTGGACTCCTCGTGAGTATGGGATCTAAAGCTTATGAATTGATAATATCTTGATAAATTTGTTTAGCTATGGTTAAAAAATATAAACTTTAAGATTAGACCATTTGAATAAACAATAGTGACATGCCATTTTGAAATGCACTTCGAACTATTGTTCAGGTGCCACCAACAAAATAATGGGATTAATCTTTCTAGTTGTCTTGAATTAAGAATTGCAAGCCATAGCTAGGGCATAGAAGTAAATTTATTTTGCGTTAGTGATGCTGTGGTCCAATGCTATTCATGATTGTTGTGACAAGCTGTGCTTCGAGGTAAATTGGTTTGCAAACTCACTAGGTCCCACACCCAACTAAGCCTTTTCATTTCTTGCCTCACAACCACCTTGGAACACACATTCATTTACCTCTTCTGTTATAAATTAGTGGACACCGCGTACTGAAAATTGCAGATAGGTGTCCCAAATTCACCATTTTAAGAAAACTCCACTCCACCTCTCCCACCCCCTTTCTTTCTCACTCATTTCTTATGTGAGAGGAGGCAGCTAGGCTGAGTTTCTAGCTAGAGCTATATCAGCGATATCAAGTGAAGAGAAGGTGTGTGTGAGCAAGATGGAGAAGCAGGGCACGTGCATTACTAACTCATGCACACAGAGTGAGAGAGACATTTCTTGCTGGAGTTATGACTCTTACCTACTATAGATTTGTTGGCTTCAGTGAGTTAGTTCTTCATGTGCCTGTCTTCCCCATCATGATCACTACCACACCTATATTATTAGCTCATCTGGGCACTTCATATTGGATCGAGAATCTCCTCTTCAAGAACTGAATTCATGCATGCAGGTGAGTCATATTTAAACCCATGTTTCTGTATTTTTGTGGAGAGAAGTTATGGCTCCATAGGCATTGCATACCTAACCATTGCTCCTTTTGTTCTCTTATGGTCAAAAGACATACTTCTACTAGGCGTAAAAAGCACTCCTCACATATCATATGTTAGCGAAGATACACATACAAACAAAAAGAAAATATGTGGGTGTATAATTAAATATAATATTTGTGAAGATCAAGAAAACATTCTTTGAATGTGAGAATAAAGATCAAGAAAAGATCTATCCTCTACGTCTTGTTTTATTGGATATATTGTCATATTGCGAATTGAAAGTCAGTAAGCGATATATTTCTTCAAAATCGTCATGGTGGATAAAGATAAGCTTTGACTCAATTATTAGTATCATGATCAGAGTTGATTCAAGCTTATTATGATGCCGACAGTTGATTTCCATATCCAGCTGTGAAGTATGAGCTAACCATCGATAGAGGTAACTCTATAAACATGATTGATGTTATTTCACAACCAAAAAATAAAATAAAATAAAAAATAGATCACAAAAGTATCTGGCAGTATCAGCAATTAAGTTAATCCCATGGTTTAAAAGTTATAATTTGTTCCTAATCTATTCTTCTCAAATTTTTTTTTCTAGCAACTTTTATTCTGTCTTCTCACTTTGCTAGCTCAGTAATATTGATCCATCTTATTTACAAGAAAAAAGAAAAGAAAAGCAGTAGGACTAATTAATGGGCCTATATTAGTTCCATGATTGCAAAAATGTCTTTCCAAGCCCTTATTGTCAAATTTTCTCCCGAATTTCATGCTGATATTGGTCTTGGAATGCTCTCTTGTTGCCAAACCACCATTTGGGAAAGCTAAAAACGAGAAATAATAAACCCGATATTTTGGAAGCAAAAATGTCTTTATAAGCCACGCCATCCACTATTATTTTAATTTTGTGTTGAAAATTTATTTTGTGGTATAATTATAGTGATTTAGAGCAGACAACTTTATGTCATAGACAATAGTTTTTGCTTAATAATTAGTTAATAATATTGTTTTGATATTTTTTTTAATTATTTTTTTCCATGTTTAGAAGAATTAGGGTTTTCTTAATCCATTAGTTATATGACAGAACAGCATATCCTTGACTAACAAAACCATTGAATTTGAGGATTTCTTCTCCAAAGACTCCACACATTTTTCGTTCGGTCTCATCATTGAATTGACATATTTATTATCTGTTTTTGTTCTATATCACACACGTAAATGCTGATAGGCTTCGGTCGTACCTCTCTTTTGTAAATTTTGGAAAAAACAAAAAGAGTCAAGAAAAAAGGTTCGTTGAATTTGAGCAAGGGTTGAAGGAAAATAAAAACGAGTTACTTGCTAGCAAGTTCAACCTAAACTTCCAATGTATTATTGTTTACGAACAGTAGAACCAATCAATGAGCCTTCTTAGTCCCATAATTTGAGTGTTTATGATTATAATTATAATTTTTTATTTCTTATGAAGTAACATCTCATTTATTTCTCTACTTCTGTCAAATTAATCCGGCAAGGAAAACATTTATAATAATTATCTTTCATTGGATTCTATAATTGAATGTGAACATCATAAATCAATCAATTAAGTAGATTTTTTCTTCACGTGCCCTTCTCATGATGTTTCAAAATCTAACATGGTAGGTTTTTTTGGGTAGTCAGATGGAGAATGATTACATGTCTATGTTAATATTTTAGTTTTTAAAATTGATAAAATTAATGGTTGATGATAAAAGATGACATGTGCAAACTAATTATTTTTTGTGGGATTTAGGGATTCTTCAATAATAAAATAAGTAATTTTTAATAAGAGATTGCAATAAATGAAATAAGGATTGTTTTAAAAAAAATTAAGAACAAAAATATTTATTTTTAATTGTGTATAAAAAATACTTGAAAAATAAGTATATAAAAACTTAGAAAATAAAAAAAATATGAATTATTTACCTGGATGTTTCAGAAGTTATATATAATCTTTAAATTTTGTTATGTTGTTTGAATATAAAATTTTGTTATGTTGGTTGAATATAGGGGTTGAAATGTCATTTCTCCACTTAGTATTAATGATATATAAACATCTTTTACACAGTATTAGTATTAATGAGGGATATATATCTTACATAATATTAATATTGATGAAAATATAATAAAATATTAAAAAAAAATTATATACCTAAAGATGTAAGGAGATATCATGTTTTACTTTTAATATTTTATATTAAAAGATATAAAAATAAAAAAACAAATCTTCACGACCCAGATGGTCTTAAAAAATTATGAACATCATATATATTTGAAGTTGGAAAAATTTCAGATTTTAGCTCAATGGTGTTGAGTTTAGTATTTTTCCAGACTCATATGTACACTTTGTAATTGAACTTAAATGAATTGGATTTAACACCTTGTAAAACCCACATGTAATTGAGCTTGGTATGTAGCTGAATTTGGTATGTAGCTGAATTCAAATGTGTTACGTCTCATATTTTATCAAATTCTATTTGAATTTAGCATATAATATCAAATTCTATTTGAATTTAGCATATAATTGGGTTTAATATTTTGTATCTGATATTTTATTAAATTTACATGTATTTGAATTTAGTATATAACTGAACGAGTATGATATTTTGTATGTATGTGAGTTAAGCACATAATTGAAGTCAAGATTTTTGGATTTGGCATCTTATTAGAACTATATATTATTAGAATTAATTTGTTTACCTTGGTATGTAGCTGAATTCAAATGTGTTACGTCTCATATTTTATCAAATTCTATTCGAATTTAGCATATAATTGGGTTTAATATTTTGTATCTGATATTTTATTAAATTTACATGTATTTGAATTTAGTATATAACTGAACGAGTATGATATTTTGTATGTATGTGAGTTAAGCACATAATTGAAGTCAAGATTTTTGGATTTGGCATCTTATTAGAACTATATATTATTAGAATTAATTTGTTAACTATATATTAAACTTAATGATATTGGGTTTGACACCTTATTAAATTTACATTGAATTGAATTTAATATGTAATTGAATTAAATAGTATTAAGTCTGAAAAAGTATCTAGATTTTGTTATCTAAACTTTACGTTGTGCAAAGTTTAGATACGTGAGATTAATATTTTATCTCTAATTTTTTTAATTATGAATTTTTAAATAAATATCTATAATGCATGATACATCAACTTTATATTGATGGATGTGGAATTAAATAATAATATTTTTATGATTTTTTTGAATAAATATTATTTTAATGTTTGGAAGGATTAGTGTTGTCTTATTTCATTATTTATATGAACACAATTGTATAACGATAAAAACAAATCATCCTTGATTAATAAAATAATTAAATTCGAGGCTTTTGTTCCAAATAGTAAACATATTTACCCTTCAATCTACATGTATTATTATGTGTTTTTATTCTATATCATATATACAAAAATGGTGATAGGGGTTCGTACCTCTTTTTGGTAATCTAAAAAAAAAAAAAGAGTCAAGCTTGTTCAACTAGAAGCCAAAGTGGTGAAGAAAAATAAAATAATGTTAATCAGAAGAAAAACCAACCTCAAGTTCCAAAATATTATTATTTATCCATCTCATGAATAATTTTCAATAATAAAGTTATTTATAACTAGACCTTTGTAATTTAGCAAAAATAATTAAATTAGTCTATAAGAAAAGAAAAGAAAATTCATTTAGTTTAATTATCTCCATGCATCTAATTTTGTAATTATTTTTATTTTTTTATTTTAATAAATAGAAAAGGTAAAAAAAATAGATTGGATAGAAAGTTGATGAGAAAAGAAAGCTTTTTTCAAAAACATACATTTAAATTAAGTTTGGTTAAATGATTATTTAATTATTTTTCAAAAACAAATTAAGTTTGGTTAAATGATTATTTAATTATTTTTGATACTACAAGGAGTAATAAGTTTTTTTTATAAACTAGAAGGACTAAATTATATTTAACTCTAAAAATTTAGGGTAAATTTTAGTATGCTTTAGATGGTGTCTCAAATTCATCTCGAAAGTTTGGTTTGTATAATTCAATCTCCTTGGTTGTGATAATAAGCAGTTTCAGCTACACTCAATTTATTTTATCCATTTCTGTTTGTAGTAACAAGGGATCATAAATTTAAATTTTATTCTTAAAATTTTAAAAATATCTCATTATCATCTAAAAAATATTATAAACTAAAGAAATAATTGAATTAAGAAAAAATCAATAAAAAAGTTGTTTTTTCAGAAAAACAAAAATGATATCTAAAACTTGAGCTAGTTGTTTCTCAAGTAATCTCCATACCCTACCAACTTCAATTTTCATTCATCAATAACAATATCATCCCTTTTTCTTAATTTGTCAATACTAAATGTTAAATGAAAATAAAGATTTAAATGAGTCTATGTTTTGTTTTGTTTCATTTCAGAATATTTTGGATTATATCGAGATATTTCATCAGAAATCCTAGGAGAAAAAATAAAATTTACACATATTTTCTTATTTAAAATTGAGAAATTCCTATGAGGAGAAATTAAAATTTACTCTGAAATTTATTCCACGGAATTTCAATGATATGCATGCCATGATGCTTTTTGTTGAGTTTTTCTTTTCTAGAAAATATGAAGTGGGCCGGGGTCTTGTCTTCCATGATCCTTTCTGTTAAGACTTCATATACAGAAAAGTAGAGAAACAGTACACAGTATGAATAATGGGAAAAAAGGTAGTGTTTCTTCTCCACCGAGTCTCGGCGGAAATCATGTGATAGCAGATATGCAAGCAAGTAGCCTGGCAACTAAAAGACGTGAGATTTCTTGCTGATCATCAGTTTTCTTCTTTATCTCTGCTCCTTCCATTAAGAGGTAGTGGGTGTCTATCAATGTTGCTCTCAGTCTTAACCAATAAAACCGATAAGAGATGAGTGGAGCAAAACCATCGAGGCATGAGTTCCCAAGAAAACTGATGTCTTATTATCATGGATATCTAGCATTTTGATGCCGCCATCCAGGGGACAGTGCAAGATTGCAATGGCCACCGCAGATATTGCCTCTAATCCATCCAATTTAGCTCTTTTTCCCCCCCTCTCAACCACGTTTGAATGACAGTGAAATGCCATTCACAGCATCTTGCCTTCTTATCAAATACCTTTTGTTTACCCAAGTTTTTAGAGTGATCGAGATTGCAAGCAACCTTAGAAAATGATGGCTTTTACATGTAAATCTTTCATTTTCTACAAGTTGCTTAAGTTATCTTTTCTCCCTCCTTGTTAATGATGGTTTTTATATCTAAAGCAACTCTTTCATTTTATTTAGAAAGAAAGCATGGCTTCCGTAGCATGATCATGCATAAAAAAATAATTTGTTCTCTCGGATCGGATTTGAAATGGATCTAATATCGATTTACCCAGTTTTTACTCACAACGGATAGAAAATTTGTGAACCGTGTATCTGACTAATGACAGGCTTCAAGCTTTGGAGGCCTGGCTTCACCTTGGTGAAAACAGGGAAAAAATTGACAATTATGTAATCATAGCAAGAACACTTGCTCAACGTGGATCAGATTCAAGAAATTAAAATAAGCTTTCTAAGTATATTCTAGCATTTACATGGATATATATCCGGTGGCTGGATGAACTTCCATTTAGAGATTACAGAGTAGGGTGGATTCGATCTCTTGGATGGATATATCACCTTTATTGAAGATAGCAGTGGTACTAGTGAAAATAGTTATTAACAAAGCTACTTTAGTTTGTATCAATTTCTTAAAACTTTTTTTAAAAAAAATATTCAGTTTTGTTAGCATGTTCTTAAAAAGAAAAAAATTGATCCAATAATACTATTAACTTAATAAATCCAAAAATAATATAAATGATAAAAAAAACTCCATGACTACAAAGATTTCAAGACAATATATTTAACAAATATATATTAAAACAACAACCCAAATCAATTCATGTTAATATTTAAAATTCAGTTATAAAAAATAATAAAACTCGTAGAAAGTTAAAAAAATATATATTAAATATCAATTCTTAATCAACTCAATATTTAAATTTTAAAAAAAAAAACTCGAATCAATTTAGATTAATCTATCAAACCTAATATTAAAAATAAATCAAGATTAATCTATCAAACCTAATATTAAAAATAAATCAAGATTAATCTATCAAACCTAATATTAAAAATAAATCAATTAAAAAAATAAAAAGAACATTCGAGTCAACATAGTTTAACCTGACAAACTTTTAATTTGGATTATGAGATTGCAATAACATCATATAAAACAAATAAATTATAAAATTTAATTTTTAATCAATTAAATGATAAAAGATAAAAATAAAAATAAAATATTAAAAAAGAGAACAAAAAGATCTAAAATCCACCTAATTAAACAAAAAAAATCACGACTCCAATGATATGATTATGATAACATAAAAAATCAAAATAAATTATAATACTTAAACCCAGTAAATATAATTATAAAAAATATAAAAATATTTATATTTTTTTTATAATTATATTTACTGGGTTTAAGTATTATAATTTATTTTGATTTTTTATGTTATCATAATCATATCATTGGAGTTGTGATTTTTTTTGTTTAATTAGGTGGATTTTAGATCTTTTTGTTCTCTTTTTTAATATTTTATTTTTATTTTTATCTTTTATCATTTAATTGATTAAAAATTAAGTTTTATAATTTATTTGTTTTATATGATGTTATTGCAATCTCATAATTCAAATTAAAAGTTTGTCAAGTTAAACTATGTTGACTCGAATGTTCTTTTTATTTCTTTAATTGATTTATTTTTAATATTAGGTTTGATAAATTAATCTAAATTGATTCGAATTTTGTTTTTTAAAATTAAATATTAAGATATATATATATATTCCCTAGCTCAATTAGTTATCATTAATAATAATATGTTTAAAATCTCATTCTTATTTACTCTCATTTCTTGAACAAACACCTGCGCAAGAAGAAAAAGAAAAAAATCATTCTCGTTTCCAGTATTCCTTTCATTATCACCAAGCGTCTGCTAACTTTACATAATCTTAAGAATCATTATTTCTTAAATCAAATATTTATATATCATAATTTCTTAAAGCAATTATAACATGCTCATATTACTTTTTATAGTGTTCATAATAACCATATACAATTTTTAAAAAAAATCTAAAAAAGGAAATTTATTATCTATGTGGTAAAATCTACACATAAAGTAAAAGTTGGGTGTATATATATATATATATATATATATATATATATATATATTAGAAAAATAAAAAAATATTAGGGTGTGTGAACCCACCATCCAATCTACTTCTAGCCCTCACAATCCCAGTCAAATCGGGCATAAACTTGATCAACTTAAAAAAAAAAAAAGTGATCATGCTGTAATGCTAAACAAGAGCATTGCACACCTTCCACTCCAAATAAAAAAAAAAGAAGAAAAAGTTGACAGAAACACCTTTAGTGCTGTGTTGCGTCTTTCAGAAATGGACATCAAGCTTCCGCCCATTGACGGAGAAGTCTTTGTAACGCCCACAGTCCATTTCAAGAAAGGCAATCCAGAATTGACACCTAACGCTCATAGGCACTACAACGATTTCACCAAGAAAGTAGAAAGTGAATCAACTATTTTAATTTTAATTTTTATTTCCTTTTTAATTTATTCATGGTGGTGGCTTGCATGAACTTCTCCCACCGGAAATGAAAGCTACTGAACTGCTAAACTATTCTTTGCCAAATCATAAATGGAGTTTAAACTTGAGACCCTTTTTCCTTGTGGATCAATGCTTCTCTACCAACTCATGAGGGAAATCTTTCTTGTTCGAAATTTTTAGTCTGAGCCACAGAAGATTTTGATGGCATGAGTGGAAAAAAGGGGAGGCAATAGGGAAGTCTTTCTTCTTCCTTTTTTAGAGTAAATAATTTTAATAAATTTGGTTAACTATAGGTAAACAAAAACATTATTGATATCCATTCATAATATAATCAATAAATTGTTTCATCACGATACTAAAAGCCTATTTGATCCCTGATGTGATGAATTGATGTATTGTGTTATTGGTAAAATCACTTAAATTAAAATTATCGTTTGAGGATATAGCTTAATTAAAAAATTTATTTAAGAAATTAAACATTTTATTACTTAAAAAATATTATTTTTTTCATTGGAAAAATTGCAAATATCATAAAAAAGCAGAAGTAAAAAAAATCGAAATATCACTTAGTGTTTTTAGTAAATAGAACTACTAAGAAATTTAATTAAGATCAATACAAGCTAAGATCTAATATACTTAATATAAACTAATTGATATTGGTTAATTTTAAAACATGTAAGGTTATTAACAATATTAGTTAATTATCATGTATAAAACAAAAGCAATTAAAGTCAGTTTAATTTAAAGATATTTAAAGTTATCTTCGAGTTTTAATATAAAATAAGCAGCCTTTCATCTCAAAAAACATCACTTCCCGCATTTTTTAAAATTAAAGCTATTGCACCTTTAAACTATACTTATTAAAATCACATTTCACTCAAAAATCAATGCTCTAATAAAAAAAATAGTTTCCGATATAATGGCAAAATTGTAATTATATCGGGCATGGTTTCTAAAATATATTTTTTTGGATTTTATCCAAATACTAACCAAAACCAAATTTTGCCAAAAAAAAAACCTCCCTTGTACCATTGCCACCTCTAACTACACCACTACAATTCGAAACACAGAATAATGGCTTTCTATGAGATTGAGTGTACTGGTCAAGCTAACATGAAATATGATAATTTTGTTGTTGACAGCATTTCAGGTGCCAGATTAATAGATTGTCCTTGATCACTGTTCATACACTACAATGGAACTCTACAAGCTTGGAAAGAAATAGAGCAAATTTCGTTTCATTTAGACTCTTCCCTGCAACCATGGCAGACTTGCAAGAGATTTGTGAACAATAAACAGTTGGTAGTGAGGACAGAATCTGACCCCAGCTGCTTAATATGTTCTTCTATCTTGGAGATCCTCTAATCAAATTCTATTGCGATGACAGTTCAAGAGTTTTAGCCACTTTCAGAAAAAAAGGACGGCAGCCGTTGTAGGGTTATAGACTCGTTTAACTTCATAACATTTGATGAAGAAAGTACATGAGTGGACACTTAGTGAAATACGAAATCAACAAACCTAACCGTTCTATATAGTCTACAATCCAAATGAAAATTCAATCAGTGAAAACCAAGAGTTTGGCATGCGTTCACTATCCAGATTCAGCAAGTAAATTTAATAGTAACAAATGCCTTATAAACCTAAACCATAAAAGACTTAGATTTGATCATGCAAAATACCCCAACAAAGAATATTGCAGGCACTGGGTGTTGGTTTACCAATTACTCTAGCAAATCATTCGCTGGCCTGCTGACATGTAAAGAAATGAGATGACAACAAAAGCACCCATCCATAATTGTGTCATTTCACCACCATTAATCAAATCCTAGCGTTAACTCCATGGAAAAGAGGGTTAAAAAGCCCATTTCAAAAGAAACAGCATTTTTGGTTTCTAGGATGAGCTCACACCTTGGTCTGATCAACCTTGTTGACCGGAAAAGACCCCACTTTTAAGACTACAATTGCTATTGTAAACAAGTGTTGATGAAGTGTGGCATTGCACGAATTCTGGAGCTAAAAAAGTTGTATAGGTAAAAGAAGCTGATCCAACCAAAAACTGTTGATCCAAACCAGTTGGAACTATTCCAATTTTTAGTATCATGACATGATACAAATAACAAAAAATCATGAACGAGTTACCACCAAAAGCTCTCTGCTAAGCTTCTAAGCAACTCAACTCAAGCATTTTGTTGGAGTTACATATTCTATCTATTAAAGTTTTTGTCTCCAATAATTCACCTGAAAGACAAATGCACACGGTGGTAAATTTGAGACACTGCAAAAGATAAACCAAAAGAAATCAATGAACATGCATTGTGAGAACAGACCATAGGGTTGAATTTGAAAATTAATAATCAACATTAGTGAAAAAATGGAAAACAAAACACAAAGTATAGAAGCAAGTTGTTGTTTGTTTTAAAGTAGTTGGCCAATCAATGCCAGTGACTTAAGTACTTTGGTTCCATTCAGGACAGTGACGTTATCGAGAAAAAAAGGCTAAACAGACTAGGCCAGAACACACCACAATAGTATGAACATACCCATCTTATGCAATGAACGCATAAATTGAGAGAATACCTGGAGTTGGATGTTGTTCCTCTAATATTTGGTGCGTTTCTTGTAATTTGTAAAACAAGGTAAGGGCCAGGAAAGCATACTGGGTAGGCATGATTTCGTGTTCAGAACAGACTAGTTGCATGTGCCCCCACTGAAGGATACAATCAAATAATGGCCTCGCTGGTGCTCAAAATACACATGCATCCATCCACTACAGCTACTTAGCTTCTGAATAGAAACATTGAAGTTGCAACTTGATGCTTCATCCATCCCATGTCATTTGTATTTTTAAATTGTTTGAGAATTCATAATTAGCTAGCTAATTGAAAGTTATTAACATCACGGCACACCACTGAGGCAACATTACCGAAAATTCAACAAATGCAAACTCTATTCTTGGATCCACTACCCAAGAAGATAAACTCTCCGTAGCCTCAAAATTTTATTCATGGATTCATCACTGACTTCAACCATTTCTGGGGGAAACAATGTAAAAGAAGGTACTCAACATTAACTGAGTTTGAATTGTGTCTACCAAACTAAACAGTGTAGTCTCTATAAAACCAAGTTCGATTCCAGAGTTAAGGAGAAGCGCTTTCCAAATCTCTAAGACCAGGAGACATTCTTACTAACCATTTTCTCAAGTAATTCAAGTGCTTTACAACTGAGGTCTCTATGGCATAAACCACAAATTATCTCATCAAATGTGAAACTCTGAGAGCATAAACCCTTATCCAAGCTTAATTTTATCTTATTTCATCTGATTCACAACATGCAAAGCATCCAAACCCATTTTTCCTTTCACTAAAAACCTAATAACATTACTATAATCCACCATTCTAGGACAAAATCCTAACTTTCTCAATTCCTCTAAAAACCCCATAACCTCGAATTTGGTTGCTTCTTTCTGTTCACAAAGACATGACTATTACATAGAAGATATTTCTGCGTTTACAATAAACCCACCATTCACCATACAACTCAAGATCTCAATAGCAAAACCCACCTTTCTAATCCTACAGAGAGCAGCAATAAATACCTGAAAAGTCGATCCTTCCATTCGAGTATGCATAACTTGACTCTTCAACAAAATTTCAGGCACCAAGTTTAGACCTTTACTGCTTCTACAAGCAACTGGCATCTAATCTTTGGAATTCTACAGAACAACTCAATTGCTTCTTGGTTTTTATCAGCAATTCTATAAGATAAGCAAAAATAGATTCAGGTGGTTCAAAGTTTTCAACTTTTTCAAGATGGTCAAGAACTGAAGGAATGTGATGGAATTGAAAGGTTTAAAAGAGGTTTTGAGAATAAAGTCATAGACTTTAGGGGTTGGTTCAACATTATAGATGCTAAAGGAGTAATTAAGAGAAGAAAGAAGATGGGATTTACCGGGATTTTCTAGCAGTGGTGGTTTTGTAGCTGACTGTTTAAGAGATTGCATGGCTTCTTGTTGGTTGAAAACTCTGTGCCATCTTGCCTTGTAAGGTGTGAATGGTCATTTCCTGTGTTTTCTTGGGAAAAAACCAGTACTCTTTTTAGTTTTTAAGTAGTGTATCTAACCATTCTTGTTGGGATTCTGAAAGAAGATCATCAGTTTGGGAGATGTAGTTACAGATTTTCTGTTTATGTTATGGTATGGTCACTTCATCTTTGCTTTAAGTACTTCAGTTCAGTCAGATGCAAGGCTGCTTTTTCGTTGGAAAAACCATTCTACAGCCGGCTAAAACAAGGCAATGGACCATGACACACAGCCCTGTTCATTTTCCAAAAAGGTCTGTTGGGTGGTTAAATCTATATTTTATTTTAATTATATTTTTTAAAAATTTAATTAATATATATATATTATAATTTTACATAAATCTCATTAAAAATATTTTCTTTAAACTATAATTATAAAAATATATGATTAAATGACCCAATTTATCTGCTGCTGTGAATTAACAGTAGACCCGACAATGGAGATGGACTAAATATTTAGGTAATGTAGTGATTTTTTAAAATATTTTTTATTTGAAAATATATTAAAATAATTTTTATTTTTATTTTATTTTTTAAATAATATCAATATATTAAAATAATTTAAAAATAAAAAATAAAATTTTTTAATTTTAATAAAACATTATTAAATTTCGATGGGCTTAGGATTTTTTAACTTTAATAGAATGACTAAAGATAATATAGCCCTTATGGGTTCTAATTTTAACTTTGATAGAATGACTAAAGATTTAACTTTGATTTTTTTTTATATAATATTTTGATATGGTTTGAAATTTAAACTTTCTTCATTTAAAATCAAATAATTCGATTTAGACCAAAAACATTCAACCCAACCAAAAAGCAAACCAAACTCATTATGCACTATTTTCTAGTTATAAAATAAAAATAACCTAATTCAACTTAATTCTCAATCAAACACAATATCAAATAATAAAGTTAAAAAAATATCAATTAAAAAAATTAAATTAATCCAATTAACTCGTCAAACCCGTAAACTAGGTTATAAAATGTGGACAATCTAATAAAAAGCAAACTTAATATTAAAGAACTTGTAACTCGAGTCATAAAATTAAGATAACTTCGTACAAAAAAAACAATATGATTTAGCTAAGGTTAAAATGTCAAAACTCACAACTCTAATAATGAGACCAATATATTACTATGAAAAACAAATCAAAATAAATTATGAAATTTAATTTCCAATTAATCCAATGTTTAATGATAATATTGCAAAAACAATCAATTAAAAAATAAAAAAATAAATTGAGTTAACTCGAGTTAATATATTAAGCATTATTCATGAATTATGAGGTAGAAATAATCAAATAAAAATAAATAAATCATGAAATATAATTGTTAATCAACTCAATATTAAAAGATAAAATTAAAAAGAAATTGAATGAATTGAGTTAATTTATCAAACTTACAATTTGTATTATGAAAATAAGGTATTTTAATAAAAAATAAATTTAATATTAAAGAATGATTTTTTAAAATAATATTGATTAATTTTAATAAAATTATTTCAATAAAAAAGTACTTTGAATAGAGTTGGAAAGTAAAATGTCCTTTTTTTTATTAATATTTAAAAAATATTTAGTAACTTCTTTAAATAATAACTTATTTTGGTAGAAAACACACACAATGAACCCCCCAAAATTATGTATAATTATCACCATGTTTTTCTTCACTATTTTATTCCAAGTTTGCTTCCTTTTTCTTACATATTGGTCCCCCATCCTAAAATTCTGGTTCCCCTCGCTATCATCCTCTCTCTGGATCAAAGTTTTGGTACGCATTACCAGTTTAATTTGATTGCCACAAGCTATATTTGAAAAGTATTCAATTTTTGAAAATTAGAGACAGTCTCAATGCGTATCGCTCAAGTATCTTCTCAATTTCCTATTCAAGTTTCTTGCAATTATTCTTTTTTTTTTAAAAAAATCTATAGTAAATTTTGATGATTTCATAATAATCATTGGTTGTCTTTTAAAATATTTTAATATGTATATATAAAATTTTTATTTAAAAAAAATTATTTTTAACAATAATACATCAAAACAATCTAAACCTTTAAAAAATAAATTAATTTAAAAACTAAAAAATTAAATTTTAATGAAGAACAGCATTTCGTAACTACCCAAATATCTACAAGGGGCTTGTCTTTTGACAAAAAGATGTAGCTGTCTTCCATGTCATTCCATCTATCTTCTAGTGTTGTAAAAGAAGAGATGGAGGAGAGAGGAGAGAGGAGAGAGGGAATACGTTCCTCGTATTTTTTGTTTTGAAAAGAACAGAACAGATTGTGTTGTCTTCATTCATTAGTTGAATAATTTACGAAAGTTAGAGAGAAATCGTTTAGGTCATATTCATAAGCCACTTTCTCTCTTCCTCGTACACCTTTATTAGAGGAGCTCCAACGTACGAGGCATGTACAAAGCTAAAACTGTTTTGTCTATTTAATTATTTTTATTCATGTTTCAACGAGCAAACTAAACAAATAATCATTTTGACTATTTGTTTTGTTAACAGTCATTTCTATATTTAACTGTAGAAATGGCTATTTTTATAGCCGTTGGCTAATAATTTTTTTTTTAAAATATAGAATAAATCTTCTATAAATACATGAAGAAAAAATTTGTAGTTTAAATTTTTGTATTGTGCCTCATCCTTCTCTCAAATTTAAAAAAAAAAATTATATTGATATAAATAAATTTTAAATTTAATTTTAAATTTGAATTTACTTTTTAAAAATTAAATTTTTAACAATAACATATAAAACTTAAAATTAAAAATATTGATATAAATAAATTTTAAATTTAATTTTAAATTATATTTTTTAACTTTTATATTACTTCATTAATTTTATAAATTATTCATATTAATTATGTAATTAATAACATCATAATTATATTATATATAAAATATTTAAATTAGTTATATAATTATATTAAAATTAATTTAACATGAAATATATTAAAATATAAATAGCTTTTCTATATAGCTTTTATCATTGGAATGCATATCAACAAAAAAGCTATATTTACACTATTTATAAAAGTCATATTATCAATATAGCTCCTTTAAAAAGCATCTCCCGTTGGAGATGCTCTTAGAGAATCCTCTCGCGGACACCTTTCTTTTAACCAAATATTTTTTAATTTTTTTTTAATATCTACTATTACAAAACAAACATTATATTTATGATATAAACATATACTCTATCGATTTCCTCATTTCCAATTAGAATTGTTTTCAAGATCTATATATTGAAAAGTGAAGCTCAAAGTTAGGAGAGGAGCTTAAGAGTTGCATCATATTATTTTGAACATAATTATAAAATTTAGTTTGATTAAAGTTTGAGTTATAAGTTGGATGAGTCAATTTAGAATAATATAATTTCAAGTTTTTTAAAATTAGATTATTTTTTAAAAAAATTTAAATAAAAATTTATCTAAATTAATTCATTTTAATCCAGTCAACTCTCATTTAGTTTGTCATAAAATTCAGCCTATAATAGATTCCAAATCAATAAATTAATAAGTCAACCAAGCTATATTTATTAAAACTAATTTTGACATACTTGGAACCCAAAATTTCAACACAAATAT